TTGATTTTTAAAATCGACTCATTATTTCATGATTATTTATATGTATTTTAATAGAGTATCGCTGTGAAAGAATAAAATGGATTTTTAAATATATTTAAATAAATTTATTTTTTCTCCTTCTTTTAAATATAATCTTGTAATAAAATAAATAAAAACTTCAAATATATAAAATATTTTAATTTCAATAATTTACAAATATTTACTTTATTATAAAAATATATTTCCAGAATAAATTATATTCGAAACATAAAAGAATGTTGAAATTTTAATAATTTCATTCCCAATGAGATTTTTCGTCGAAAAAGGAAACTACGTATAATCCATTATACTTCATATAAACACAAATTTTAAAATTAGAATTTTCACATTACGTAAATTCCCCTTCAAAAAGCGTTCAAATACTTTTGTGAGCGACTGTATAATCGGTTAGATTTCACGCCTGACTACGCATCGAACAAGACCTGAAGAAACATGCTGTACGTAGCGCCACACATTGTATGTGCGTTAGTTGCACTCCGGCTCGGTTGATGACGCGATGAGAAGCCAAAAGTACTATGTAACACGCAGTTGTAGAAGTCGATAAACGATTCAAAATAGATGCCGTATAAGTCGAAGAGAAAAGACTAATAGTAGACTCGGGTTTAATTAGCTTCAGGATGCATTTGGAAAAGATTGATTTTCCATGCATGATCATTATAATCGGAAGAAAGGTGACCAGAATGTCCACGACCGCAAAAATTATAATCGAAATCGGCATCAGTGCGGAAGTTCAGAGCAGAACTGGATCTTTTTCAAATAAACTTTCATCCTATTCTGAGAACCGTTTGCTATTGTATGATAGTTGAATGACCATCGCGAACAGAGGACGACGGGAACAAAGAGAGAAAATAAATGAGATTTGAAATACGTCCACCAAGAAAAGTAAAAAGAAAGAGAGAGAAATTGTGCCCGCGATATGTTCCCGAATGAATAACAAGTTCGGTGAGTGATCGAAGCGACATCATGGAGATTTCTCCTCGGCAATTGTAATAACAATGTATGTGTATAAAACGGAGAAAGAGATAGAGAGAGAGAGAAAGAGAGAGAGAGAGAGAGAGAGAGAGAGAGAGAGAGAGAGAAAAATATTTTTTTTAAATAAATTAATTAAATAGAAAGAGGAGAGAGAGAGAGAGAGAGAGAGAAAGAGAGAGAGAGAGAGAGAGAGAGAGAGAGAGAGAGAGAGAAAAATATCTTTTGAATACATTAATTAAATTCAAAGAGTGAAGAGAGAGAGAGAGAAGGAAGAAATCTGGATAGATAAATATATATAATAATAGAAAAAGAAAAAGTAAGACGTATCAAATAACATGAAAAGATGTCTTGAGGACATCCTAAAGACATCTGATAGATTTTTTTGAAATATTTTAATGTCTCATTTTATAAACCGTCTTAATATATTTTAATAATTTATTTTTTATTTCTATTTGATCTTTTTAATTATTATTACTAAGATTTTCATTTAATTGATATTAAATTATACACTAATGATTCCTGGAACTGTGATTTTACATAAAAATTTATTTTTAGTATTTTTAATATTTTGATTTGTCTTATCATTATTTTTAATTATCATCAATAATTAAGATTTTTAATTTATTTGATATTAAGTTAAAAAATAATAACAATTAATATGATAAAGCAATTTTATGGATAGTAAATACAAGAAAATATTCGAAATCTGATGATTTCTAATGATTTTAGAATCAAATAATCCAAGAGATTCCTTAATGGCCTTATGTTTAAGAAAGAGATCATCATTAGAAAACTTTTCAAATTAATTATATGTAAACTGATTATTTGATTTTAAAGAAAATAATTATATCGAGAAAATAATTGTTTGTTCTTTTTAACCCTTAGAACCATAAATCGCTTATGGCAATTTTTAGATTTTTTATAATTGAATTTTCATAATAACTTTTTCTTTTATGAAACTTTTTTTTATATTAAATTATACACAGAATAATTCACATAATTTTATTATCTAAAATATCTTTCTTGTTTTTGATACTATTAAAAAATATTTTAAATAAAAACTGAATGATTTCGAGATTTTCCTGTATAATTAATCTTTTCGTAGATTTTTGCATAAGATCATATAAAGATAATGTAATGTTTGATTTTCAAATAAAAGTATATAACATTTTTAATGCAGTAATTCATAATTGTTATTTAAAAAAAAAAAAAAATATTAAATTTCTTATGTCGAAATTTTAACATAAATTTTTTTAAATTTTGAAAGATAAGGAAAGAATTTTATTGCAAACAAAGTAGTATTGTAAACAAAGTATTATTTCGCGTATTTTTTGTTTTTACAGTATAATAATTTTTACAAAATTTAAATTAAAATATCTTCTAAAGCTTTTTTAAATAATATAATATTTTTTTTATAAGAAATAATTAATATTGTTAATGTTGTTTCAATATTGTATAATAAAATCTTTCAATGATTATAAGTAATATATATATATATTAAATTTAATTATATTTAATTTAATATATTAAATTTATAATTACAGTTTTACAGAAAAATCATAGAGGATTTGATCGATTTGAATATTTATAAAGAATGTTTTATTTTAATCTTTTTATGCTATTATTTTCTGCATTGTTCAATAAAACATTTTATATAAAATTTGTATTTTAAAATCTTGTAACTATCAGATTTATTTAATTCTAAGTTTTTAAAATCTCGAAATTTATTTTTTTAAATGGAACTATATATTTTTATTTAATTCATTTTAAGATGAATTAATTAATCTAATTATGTTGATCTTTAAAAGTTATTCAATTTATTGATTCATTGTCATTCAAAAATTACCTTTGTAACTATTAACTTAAACTATTATAAAATTATTCTGTATTCGAAAGATTTGGCCTTGCAATGATTATTCCATCCCTAAATATTATTTTCACTTTTTTAAAAATAATTTTAATGATTAATTTTGATAGATAGATTAAAATGAGATAATGAAATATATATAAATTTTCAAAACATCAGATTAAATTGAAACTCGTATCAGATGTCCATTCAGATATCTACATAAAATCATAAAATGAATGTTAAAATAATCGTCTTCGAGGTATGTGCTGTTTAAAATCGAAGAAATAAGTGAAAGACTTAAAAGGAGCCATGGCGATGCCAATATCGAGATCAAGAGGAGAGAGAACATCGATTTTTTTCGTGCATTGAAAAAGAAGAATTGAAAGAAAGTTGAAAACACGCCGTTGATGCACGATGATAGACATTCGAGCTCGATATTGTGCGAAAAGATATATAGATATATAATAGATGTACATAAATAAGTATAGGTATACACATAATAATTTCCATAAATAAAAGTTTCAAATCGTTTACCGCATTCGTGTCGTACGTTCCAAGCTGCGTACGTTGCAAACGACATATATATACAGAATCGCTAGAGACCGCAGTGTCGGGTTATGACACAAGTATATATACGACAACAGTATACGACAGATTGTAGAGACGGGTAAAATACCATTTCGAAATAGCATGTATACCACTCTGTTCTTTACGGATCGCTCGTTCATTATTAATCGTGTGTTCATTCGCCAATTATAAAATACAGCACTGTTCATAAGTCACCGGATATATTTGCTAAATTTAAATATAATTTTTATTGAAATAGATTTATACTAACGTGAAACATGATCTTCACAGTATTGCGATTTTAAAGAAAAAGGAGGAAGGGGAAAATATAAGTTAACAAGGAAAGAAAATTAGGCCCAGTGAGAGAACTCACTGACTTATTCAGGACTTATTCAGAATGATAAGGTGTGTAGACTATTTGAAGAGTAAGAAGTGTGGAAATAAGAATTTTTTTATTTAGCAAATATGTATTTTTCAAATAATTAATTAATTTAAAGTACACAAATTTATTGGTATATTATGTGATATTGTGGAATGGAATTAGGAATTGTATTAAATTGTGGTCTTATTTTAATTTATGTAAATATCTATATTTCTGTAAATATATATATTAACTAGTATAATTTAAAAAATGAAAATATAAATTTATAAATATTCAAATTTATTTTATGTATCAGTGCAATTTCTTTTAATAAAATTTAATTATATTTAATTTTCTATTTTGATACAAAAAATCTTTTATTTTTTCCAATATTATTCAAAAAATTCATTTATTAAAATATTTATATAATAAATATTTAAATATTCGAATATTCATGTATTAAAAATTGCATGAATTAATATAATTATATTTACAGAAAATATTACATATTACAATTATATTATACACAAATATCTATTTACTAAAAATTATATTCATATATATAAAATAAAAATCTTTATTAATCTTGAATTTATTCATTATAATTATTCATATTATTAATTCTCAATTAATTAATCAAAAACAAAAATTAATAATTAGATAAATTTGTATTTGATATGGGTCATTTTTTACCAACATTATATTAACATTCATCTACAAAAAATTGTTTATACATATATATATCAAATTCACAATAAATATAATCCAATTTTTTTATGATTAATAATTAGAGAATTTAATAAGTATAAATTCTGCATTATAATTATGAAGTTCACTCCTTCATTTAAATTTATTAAAAATATCCAATGACTTAGGGACAATAGTATATCTTAATTCACATCAACTGTAAACGTTCATTCGACATTCATTCCTTTTTTATTTTTTATTTTTCTCCACAGAATTCGAAATAGAATTTTATTCATCTCTAGACAAGATAGCATGCTCTATGCTTGGTACACACTATAAATACATTTGTACACTCGTACCGTGATCAAGAACAACAGAGATAAATATATACATATACATGTGACGTATGCATGTATATACATATATGCACACATGGATGCACGTCTATGCATATTATGTGATTTATATAGATTTAAATATGTATATGGATATATGCATAGCACATTGTTCTCTACTAGAGCTTACTAAATGCGTGATCGAACCGAGTACTCGTCCGAGAGTAACCTGTAACAGCGAAACAATAGCCCCCTAAGATCATGTACTTACGTCTAATTTCTAACTTTTTTCTATTCTTTCTTTTTGTTTTTCTTTTTTTTTTTTTGTTTTTTTATGAAACAAAAAAATAGAAATAAAAAAAAAATAATCGTTAATCAAGATTGTTTCGTCAATCTTTATCTTTCCAGTTCTGTACAGATAGTATTGCTACTATTAAAAAGAAAATCAAGGAATTCGTTAATTAATTCTATATATATAATGCTTGCCTTCGATGTAATTATTGCGATTCTTTTTATATCTATGAAAATTCTGTAAAATATTTTATGGATAAAAATACTTTATACAGAGTGGTGAGAAAAGAATAATATATATTTCATGTCTATATGCTTAATTTTACAGTATATTATAATACATATTTAAATGTTTCTATTGATTTTTGTTTTTTTTCAGAGGAATATAATCTAATAAAAAATAAAAAATAATATAATATATTCAATTTTGAATAACTTTAAATTTTTGTTAAATATTAATTACAAATTCTATTAAATTTTATGGAAACTTTTAAAATTATGGAAATTCGATTAGCAATGAATAAATTAAGTTATATTTCAGAAATATGAAATAAAATTAATTATTCATAAAGAGAACAAGAACTCTCGATAAAATCAGAATCCAAAAAAATCTTTTTTATCTTTATAATATATTCTTAATTATAAATTAATAATTAAATATTTCGATAAAAATTTGAAGTTTTATTTTAGTTTATATATCATAAATAATTTAAAGCAATAAATTAAGAATTATTTTAAGTAAAATAAAGTATCAATAAAGAAAAAATTAAAATAAGTGAAAATAATTGAAAATATATTTCATTAATTTCCAAAATTATTTTTCTTTCTAATTATCTATTAATAATTTTAATCAGTTTAATCATTAAATTAAGCCTTCAATTTTAAAGAGAAATAATCAAGATACAAATATTATAGCTATTTTTCTACAAATAAAAAATTTTTATTTGAAATATTTATTTTATATTAATATTTCATTATATTTTATCGTGAAATGAAAAATTTTAGGAATTTTAATTTTTATTGACTTTTAATTTATATCGAATTTATTTTTATTCAATTATCAGATAAAACTAACATTTTTATTCAATTTTGTTTAATATTCAAAATATTATCAAAGTTTATCATTTACCATTTAATGAAATAAACAAAGCATCATTAATTTTAAAATTATATTTTATGATATTTTTTACACATTAAAGAAATACGTTAAATTTTTTTAGTCTATTTCGAAAATTAAATTTAATTTTATCGGATTATCGAATAAGCCTTTCAAAATTTATTCTTTTATTATTATATTTGAAATTCTTATTATATAAACATATTTACATTATATTATATTTTTATATATGTATAAACATATATATAACATACATACATATGTATAAACATATGTGCAAACAATATACATATAAGTAGAATTATAGAATAAATAGTATTATAGAATAAATAGCTAATGTCATAAAATTAAATTATCAAAATAATTTTTTTAATTTATTTTTAACTATTAATTATATAAATAAATTTGTAATAATTACTTTAATAATACAATTTTAATAAATATAGAATAATTTTAGAGATTATGAATTAATATTCTCCATGAAAATTTTTCAACTGTAAAATATCGATTTAAATAATTATCTTTCATAAATATTTATTCAAAAAAATTTAAATAGAACTCGAATTTGATTTTAATAAATAATAAGGGAGATAGTAATTAATTATTATAAAGATTGATTATTGTATTTTGTATTTATAATTATATTTTAAAATATATTTTAAAATATATTTAATTTATAAATATATAAATTGAGAAAATAAGTTAATTGCATGATATATGAATTATTATTTTCATTTTAAATAAAAATTTTTAAATAAAAAACCCAATTTCTTTTCATTCAATTAATATTTCTTACTTTTTCTTTATTTATTTTCTGTATAATACATATATATAAAACAACCTGCAAAAATATTGATCAGTAATATTGACAATAATATTGTTAAAAATATTGATAATAATATTTTGAATACAATTTCATTATATTTTATCGTGAATGTTTAATGAATAATAATAGTTTAATGATTTCCATCATAAATTTACTCTTCTTTCTTTTTTGATATAAATTTATCAGTTATTTTAATATACATAAATTTAAATATATTTTAACATAAATGATAATCTATTTATTAGTCAAAATTTTATACAAAATACATGATTTACAAAGCATTTATTATCCTTCTAGAAACATAAATAAAAAAAATTTATATATATATTGATTATATATTTTAATATATATTATTAATAATTAAAAAATTTTTTAATTAAAAAAAATAATTAAAAGTTATAACAAAATAATGTTTATAATTTCATTAAAGAAGAGAATTTCATTCTATATAAAATAAGAATTTCTATTATATTTTTATCTATAGAAAATTTTAAGATAAAAATATCAAATAAAAATTAACATGGATGATAAAGTGATACGNTATCAAGATAACAGATTTTGTTAAATAGTGCAATATTTTTTCCTTACTATATTTTTGTTACTTGATTTGATATAGACTTGTATTATAATTTGATCTATTTGTTAGAATTATATATAATAATACATAGCTTAGTGAAATTTTTGATATATCTATTAAAAATTTACATATTCTTAATTATAATTTTCTTTTTTAGAATTTTAGTATTATTAATTTTATTGATAATAATTTGATCTATTTATTTTTTATATTTTTATAATAAAATGATTATAATAATAATGAATTATTATTATTAAAAAATATATAATAATTTTTAAAAAAATTAAAATTAATCTTATATTTGATCTTGTATAATAATATAATTTTATAATAATTTTATTTTCTATTCGTAAATATTAAAACTGTTAATTTTATTTAAATAAAAAACTGTTAATTTTATTAAAACATTATTATTGATTCAGATTAAAAAAATGACTGATTGATTAATTAATATTTTGTATTTATATGAATATGAAACATTTAAATATTTATAAATAAAATAAAAAAATTTGTAAATAATTACTTATATAAACAATAAAAATAAATGAATTAAAAATTATGTACTTAACATTATAATTCTTTAATCTTTTATTGAATCAATTTTAAAAAAATATATACATACTTATATATATGACAAAATTTATTTAATTAGTTAATTGTCATAAATAATTTTATCATATATCAAATATTAAATATTAAATATTGAGAGAAATTCCTATATAAATTCCTTGAAATCCAAAATTTCAAAGAAGATAACAATTGTTAAAAGTTTATTTAATTTTCTAATAATTTTCAAATTTAATTTATTTTTATATAATATAATATATAATTATTTTTATATATATAAATATAATAAATGAGAAGTATATATTATAAATTTTTTTATATTAGATAATAATTTAAACTAATTAATTCTTTTACAATTAAATTAATTATTAATAATCTCTTATTACCTTCTATAAATTTTACTTTTATTTCTTATTTTTTTATATTTTTTGTTTATTTATAAAAAATGATTATTGTTATATATCAAAATTTTCATATAAATAAAAGAAAAAATAAAATGATATATAAAAACTGTTTTTAAAATTAATAAAAAATTAATAAAAAATATTTTAAAAGAAAAATATAATTCTCGATAATATACAACTTTTGATCTTACTAATTTTCTTGTAATAAAATTCTTGTAATAAAATTTAAAACACAAATTAACAACATATATACAATATTGATATTTTTATGAGAAAATAGAAATGTTTAATTTTATTGAATGAAATTATTCTTGTTTGAACATTAATATTATATGCATTATTATACATATGCATTTTATTACCGACTGAATATAAATTATCGATAATCCTATATATCGATTAGAATAATCACCAAAAAGGAAAAGTAGTATTTACTAAAGATAGGAACATTGATATATTGTTACAAAATACAATTAATATTATATAATCTTTTAATATATATATAATTGTAATAAAAATAATATTTTATATAAAATCGCAAAAAACATCTTTTATAAATATAAATATAAATATAAATAATTTTAAATTTTTCTTAAATTAGTAAACTCATTCTAAATATATTTTTATATATTTATTTTATGTTTGAAAAAAAAATTTATATTTTTTTTATATTATATTTCACCGAACTTCTAAAGTAAAAAAAAATAATAAATAATAATAATAATAATAAAATGATGCGACAATCTCCCTAAATAAAAATTGCATTGAGGAATAACCTAGTTTTCATTCACCACCCTGTATAGAGTAACAGTTCTAACCTGTAAAATACGTTGATATAAAACCATTTAAACACGGGAATGAAACATGTGAAAGCAGTTATAAAACATTTAACGGTAACCTCGACGAACGCAAAACATTTGAGCGTGTGTTTTCAGCTCCGTTTTTAAATAGTTTGCGCGTTCATTAGCAATTCCCCCTGTTTTTCGTCCAGCCATGTATATAACGTACATATAAATGAATTCCGCCTCATAGCTCGGGGACATGATCGAGATATAATAACACGAGGAAAAAATTTTCGATCAAAATTCTCGAGGATTCTCGCTATTAACTGTTCACGATTCGAATATTCTAAACTGCATACGTGATTCCTGGTGAAGGAAGGGAGATAGTCTCATGAATAGAGGAATCACGTGAAAAGGAATTACAGAGACACAAAGAAAGGTGAAGAAAGAATATGTATC